ATTATATAAATGTATCAAAAATATGCATTCATCTCCCCTTGTACGTCAATTATTAAAACTTTAATTAATTCTAGGATATATACAGGTCATGAAAAAGACAATAATTTTTTTGATTGTATATGTTTATTTATATGTTTATTGTATATATCTATCATCGTGGAAGGATATAAGTTTATGACTGTCTTTATAAAGTACACGTAAATTCTCCTGATCAACATTCTCTGGGTATTGGAATTTTGTTTGTTTTAAAAGTTGAAATTTGAAATTGAAACTTAATTTATTGAGCTGAATGTAAATGAGGTTTTCTTCTGACAAGGATGTGTCGTATATCAAATATAATGTTTTTGCGATAAGTTACATAATGTTTCACAACCTCAATTACGATAAATCTTGAGATTATTTATCAATTTCTGCGCGGTACCAAAGAGATATTAAGGATGTGCAGGAAGACGGTATTCGTCTTTTTCAAAAAACGTGTTTTCTTAATAGTCAAGCTACTACAAAGAGAATGTTAATGAGCTAATGAGCAGTTGTAGTGAGCATCGAGTGAGATGGGGCTAGGGCTGTGTCGATGTTTCTCCGTCTTCAATGAAAATTTACAGAATAAGTTTGGAAAGGTGAACATAGGTACTGCTACCTAACTTTTTAAAAAAAGTTTTTCACAATAATTGGAAGTTACTACGGTTATCAGGAGACAACAGTGATCTGGCTGTTTCTTGTTCTGCATCCTCATACAATAAGGCTCTTTAAGTATTTTCATGGTAGTTGTGGTCATGTTAAAACCTATTTGAGGTGTTAGATAGGTCTCGCCTTGCTCAAAGAGGAGGTTGTGGTCCATATACTTTACACTGCCGCATGAAGATTAATGGGTATTCGCTTTTTCCATGCAAGGTGGGAGTTAAGTTCTCAACGAGACTTCGGTGGCACTGTTCAGAAGCACAGCGAACTTAGCACGTAAAGAACATAGATTCAACCTTCATTTAAAAAAAATATATGCTGTCTCCTAAAAAACATTGCATTGTTTGCTACAGATTAAAGAATAGAGACAACGGAAGTTTTTTTACTCTGTGGCCATTGAAAATTCATTTAAATGGAGTAAACTGAATTGAGAAATGTAATAATTTGTGCTTTACTACGATGGATATCCAATTTTCGTCGTGAGGCGAAGACAGTTTTTTTCTTGCTTTCCTTCCTTCTGTTTCTTTTCTACTAATGGAAACTTCTACGTTAGTACTTTTATCGGACTAGTCGAAATTTTCTATACAATAATACTCACCTTCAATACTAAACTCATCTATTAGAATTTGGAATGATGCTATTTTTCGTGAAATTAGTTGAATTTGATTGTTACTACATAATCTCATGAAATCTTCACGGATCCTACCGTGTCTTCTTATATTTTCGAACATTCTCTCCAGGATATCCTGGCTAAATTTTCGAGGTAGTACATTTATGCCCTTGTTCGCTTGCAGCACCTCTTCCATTAATTTTTTGAATGTCTTTAACATGTTTTTTGTGCCTTTATGCCGGTTTTCACCGCTGATATATATAGGCTTTTCATTCAAATCTGATCCCATTCCCAGCTGTGTTGTTAATTGCCCGGTGCCCGATTTTTTCTTCATTGAAAACATTTAATATTTTACTCGCTTATTCACAGTATTTTTTTCCTTCCAATACTTGAGATGTTTGTGTAGTTTTAAATGGACCATGTTCGCGTTTAAATTTGCGACAAGTTGGCCTCTAAAAATACCAAATGGATTTAGCGGGCTTGAAAATCTATATTAATGCAACGTAAAATACTTCCATACTTACGATACTTTCTTTGCATAAAATGCAGCTCATTAAGCAATCATTACTAAAATTACACTTTTAAACAATATTTACGTACGCCTTTCAAGTTCATGAAGTTTGTTAATGGTATTATTATTTTTATTATTATTATAAATTGAGCCAGAGAATAAATTCTAAGACTAAAGTCTTAAAGCAAAGGCTTTCGAGTTTTGTTAATGGCAAATATTAATTTTACTTAAATTTTCAGAAGTCATTTCTTGGCTAATTAATTGTAGAAATTGTAGAAATAAATTAACAAGCTTTTAAATATAAATAAAATCCTAAACAAGTTTTGAACTTTTTAAAAACTTTTTCAAAATCTAAATTTATGAATAAACTTATCGCTAAAGAGAAAAACACTTTTTAAACTTTTGCCTAAAGTTAAATATAAATATAATATTATAATAACTACTATGATGACTTAAGCAACTTAAGACAAATCATTTCATTTTAATCTGAATTTTTTCAGTGATATCGAATTTGTATTTTTCTGAAGTCTTAAAACGAATTCAAAAAAGAAGTCCTAATTCGTGTGCACTTTGTATGTAGAATTTCATCTTTTCGGCGCTCCTGATTGACATTTGAAAGTAGATCTGCGTCGACGCTTCGGCGGCTTTCACGCTTTTATATGTGGTATATACACATTTAATATATATTATTTAGAGCTTGTAAAATATTGGTTAATTCAAAGAAATCTATATTTCCTCATGCTTTTTTCTTAAGATTTAAAAAAAAAATTTTGGTCTCTTGATATTTTAAAATAAAATTAAAGGTGTTTTTTTTTTTAGAACGAAAGAGCGGTAATAATTTTTCAAAGAAAATAAATCATGATGGCAACATATTTTCCTTTTTAAAGTGATTCAATGTTAAATTTAACATAAAAAGTAGAGCATATTAAAAATTAAATTTAACATAGAAACTTACTTTTATCGGTTTTACCCAATTTTCTGAATACTCTGAGAGGAATTTCAGTACTTAGCACTTTGTTGGTATTGTTATTGGAATTTAGTTTGCTCTGCCTCTACGACCTTATATGAGCAGCAAGAAGAAGACCTGTACAATATATTTAGTTGATCATAAAGTAGAGCGAAGCTCCATTCACTTGATATATTCTCCAAATCTTTTTTAATAGCAATATTTGCTTGTTGGTTTTTCAACTTACATACATATGTAAAAATCTATAATTTTCACAAAACAATCAATAATGAGATATAAAGACCGGGAAAACCTTTAATTGAAATTTGCTATATAGCGCGAGAATTCTCGTATAAGTATAGATATATCCTGCAAAGAAAGGAAAAGTGTAAGAGATATTAAATCGTCCAAGTCACCGCTTACAGCCGCAGATTTTTGTTCCAATAATTCATATAAAATATTTTCATGTTCCTGCAACGAAGGACTTCTAAATAAACGTTCTCCTTCAATGGCCAGAGCAAAATTTACCTTTAATTGTCCTCTTACTGCTGCTAGTTCACAGAAGGGATTTCCACATAAATTTAGCGTACGAATAAATTTCATTCTATGAAGTTGTTGAGTGCGATTATCATTTAAGAAGAGATATTGCAATTTACTCATTTTCATTTATATATGCCGTTCATAATTTCGCTTCTGCAATAATCAATTCGGATGAATTTTTTCTTGGTTCAAAAAACCGATAAGAAAAAAGAAAAACATAAAATTGACTTTTTTCAAATGTGTTTTTCAAAACGATACAATTTTTGAAAGAAGCATTATTATTACATTATATTGTTAATTTATTTTTTGCAATGAATTGCCTAACTTTTTTTATAAAAGCCACCTAAGGAGAATAGTATAATCAAATTATTAGTATATATAACACTCACACAGAAAAAGGCATCAGATATCCCTTAAAGCAAATGTAGTTTTAAATGTCTATCATCTCGGTGCAGTCTAAAAGGCCTTTTTTTGGCGGGTAAAATTTCAAAATATTTCTGAATTTTTCCACATTTTCATCTAAGATTTGGAGCAAAAGTCTGTCAGAGATGCATAAATGACAAAATATAACTCATTTTAAGTAATACTTCGAGGTGATAAGTATCCAATGTTCGTGAAGTTTTCCCACTTGCTTCTATTTATTGCCTAATTTATACAATCATAAACATTATATGCACTTGCCATCGATTTAAAAGAAAAAATTGCAATGAATGGATTTAATAGCAAAGTCATTTCAAACGAATCTAGTACAATTCTTAAACAGTTTGAAAATGTTGATCAGTAACGGCAATGACCAGCTGCAGTATCTTGGAAGCCAATTCAAAGTTGGCATACGTAAATCCAATTGATTAATATTGCACGTATTTTCTCTTCCATATTCTGTTGTTATTTAATTTTGTTGCCAAAAATTTATAAAAATACAAACAAGAACTCGACATAACGGTTTGCAGGGAGAAAAGAACACGAAATTACTCAGTTGTTCATAGCTATGAATCGTTTTGAACAGTTTGCTGTCAAAGTTTGAAAATCCAAGTAAAATCGAATCCAAATTTCAAACAAAATAAATTAGAACAATTTTTATTGTTTTAGGTTTTAAAAAATACATTAACTTTTATAAGAAAATAAAAAAATAGTCTTATTTTTGTTTATTAATTAATGTTAAGGACTGAATATTGAGGCCAAAAATAACTTAATTATCTTGATTGTTACCTGTCCCCTCGGCTAGTTTTGATGGGTCAGACAACGTTGCTGGCAAGTCACAACCGAAGTAGGCATCATTATTGACGCAGTACTTCATAATCGTGCGCCAACGAGAATCCAAAAGGGAATAGGGGTTGCAGTATATTACAACAAGGTCGAGATATCGCCGCGTTGATGAAATATAATGCATCGTGGGGCACATCGGTACATATATGCTCCTTGCTTGATCTCACTGTTGAAATTAATATTATATCGCGTTCCTACAAAAAACCAAGCGAAAGCAACAGTAGTGTTAATTCCAACATTAGTGTAATTTTACGAAGGTTATACCTGTCCTTGGAATTTCTCCACAGAACCAATTTTAGGCATTGCTACATCGGCATCAACAAAAAGGTCGCACAAATGTTTAACCTGTTTCATGTACGGACTTATGATGCCAATAGATTCCGGTTTAATGTTATTACGATGCAATTTAACTGCCATTAGAAAGACCTTCAAAAATGAAATATATGTTACGAAATACTAGAGGGATGGGATAGAAGGGATTGTGCGTTTAAACTAAAGTCAACTTACTTTCTTCGCTTCGTAATGAAAATACCACGACAGTGAGTCTTTTTCCTGCATATTTTCACTACTTATTCCGCAGAAGAATATGCCATGTGTTTTGGGTCGATTTGGTGATTGCGGCAGTATATCGTCAAGTTGCTTCAGCATTTTAGCTTGTCTAGAATTCTCTTCTCTTATCATTGGTACCAGTTCCGCATTGTAAAAAAGTTCATCATAAACGTTAAGTATGGCAACGACCGGTAATTGTAGAGTAATTTTGTAACCAGGCGAAGGTCAAAACCACATGTAAGGGGAAACTATCAACATTTCTTAAGTATGGAGCACGTGAAATAATTCTCTCCGAAAATGATAGCGAAAAACCGCGTTCACAAGCACATCTGTTTATAACGACTGCTTGCAATTGATGGGGATCTCCAGCAAGGATTACCTTTTTAGATACTTGAGCAACAGCAACCATATTTTCAGCTTCTGTCATCAATTCGTACATGCGTAAAATGATTGGCTGGAAAACCCATTTGTAAAAAATTTCCTAGGGTAGCGCAAGTATAAATCGTTAATCGATGGCGCCCTAAATACTTCATTTGAAATTTTAGTTTGAGTCCGGACTCAGTCACAATCATATCATCCTTACAGGTGTCATCTACGCCAATATCTCCTTTTGCGCAATACCGCATCAAATGCTCTGGTATAAGTTCTTTTTTGACTTGATTATAGGACACTAGAAGTATAAGCTCACCGATTTTGAATAAATTGGATTCGATCAAACGGGTCGTTATTAAATCAGCAGAGCTATACGTTCGTTTTCTATTCGTATAATTACTATGTCATTTTCACCTTCATTACTTACAACTGTATTTTCCCTGTTGTGTTTCCTTCTTTCGGGACTTTATTTAAACTTAGATCGCCTTCCTTTTTCAGGATTCGATTTGAATTTTCTGGATTATTTAGGGCTAATATAATCCAAGGTTCTTCTTAACTTTTCTGATGTCGATGGGAAATTTTCGTCGTCCTGTTCCATTTTTTCACTTCGTTTTTTAATGGGCTATTTCTTTTATAAATGCCCACTTGGAACGTTGAGGTAACACACTAAAATCCAGTTTTCATAGCCCATATGTTGTACTAAAAAAGTGCAGTAAAACTTCAAAGAGTACATTTTTCTTAATAACCCATGAAGCTTACATCATTTTAGAAATCTTGATAGAAAGTAGGCTAATAATATTAATAGCTAATATTTTCTCTCATTTAATTTAAAACGAAGAACTTAAGGAACTGAGGAGTTCCAGCGATGTGTTAAATTTATTCGAGAAATGAATCTGAAAGTTTACGGTACATATACTCATTTAATTTTTTTTTACACCTTTTTAACTTGGTTGCACTTTCTCATAATTTTTGCAAACAGCTGCAAATTTGTGTGCAAAGGCGGTTTTATGTATCAAACAATCGCTGTTCTTCTTAGTTTTGAAGATTCATCATCAAGTGACACTTCGAGGAAAGCCAGTACCGAGCATAGATTCCACATTTCGTTCAATACAAATTGCTGCTTTAGGGTAAAAGCGTTGTTTGGATTTTTAGATTTAAACTTGCTAGTGCAGCCAAGCGTTTATTCTCAATTTATAAACAACCATTTGGTTGCGACTTGGTTTATTTTCAATTTATAAACAACCATTTGGTTGCGACTCGGTTTATTTTCAAGAAGAAAAGTGCATATTGGAGGTGGAAAAACCACACAAGGGATAAGTGTAAGTACGAAAACAGTGTGTGTTAATTATTAAAGTAATTGTTGTAAAGAAAAAGTAGAAAATTGAGAATGAGGTATCGTTTCTTTTATTAAGCCCAATGGACAAGTCCGTATCTGTAGAGATTATGAGTTACTATCAATAAGTACTTGTAAGATGATAAATATACGTTGACATTGATAGAAGGATTGTTCGCGTCTTTGCAAGGTAAAGTGTATACAAAATTGAATCTTGCGAATGCAAATTATCAGTTAGTAGTGAATGACAATTCGTGAAAGCTATCTACGTGGACCTTACATGTAGGCGTATTCAAGATGACCCGTCTAACTTTTATAGTCAAACCTGCAGATGTTATTTTTCACGCGACACAGGTTGTATTATCGTGGATCATGTCAAAATTTATTCCTAACTTTGCGAAAATAATGACTACTCTTTATGAGAGTGAAAAATTTAATGGTCCAAAACATGTCAAAATTAGAGCTTGTTGAGCATTTATTTACTTGCAGAATATATTTATTATTATTATTATTACTATAAACTTAGTCAGAGAATAAATTCTAAGACTAAAGTCTTAAAGCACTAGCATCTAAGGCTTTCGGCTTTATTAAAAACTCTACCGCACTTGAGATTTGAACCCACGACCATTGAGTTGGTAGTCGAGACTCTTGCCTACTCGGCCACTCAGGCGGATAGAATATATTTAAAAAAAAGACTTATCATAGTAATCAATTGTAGGTCAGAGTGAGATAACAACCCCTCTCATATTTTCAAATTTGAATTTCCTTCATTAGTCGTTTTCATTTGGTAAACTTCGCGTACTTAGAGATGTCCTTATTCGCATTTCATTCACACTTAATACAACGCGTCATCTCTGCAAACGGCAGCTGGATAATTTTTGTGTTTACCGGTGTTAGTGAAAATAAGGAAAAAAAAGAACTTGAAAGATTAATTCTCGCGATTCAAGAAAGTATCAGTCCGATGATCCCTCACAATCTTATTAAAGAATTTGAAGAAAAAGTGTCTGTCTGTGCTATTTCTTGCCCCGTTCGAGCATACAGTACTGCGAGGAAATCCGTTGGGGTTCTTTCTCAAGTTTCAACATGATATCCTTTTTACAATATAATATTCAAAGTGTCGGACGTAACCTATCTTTTCTAGATTTTTACTTAAACTCAAACAAGATTGATTTTTGTATCTTAAGTGAAGTTTTTCTGAAAGATGAAAACTGTTTCGAAGTTAAAGTTTCGAATTATGCCTCAGCCACCAAATGCCGATATGATGGCTATGGCGGTGTTAGTATATTAGTAAAGAAAGATGTCAATTTCAGACGTATTTCCTACAGCTCTGCCGTTGGAATCATCATCATCAAAACCATCAACATGAAACCGAATCTTTTCATAGCCTCATGCTACTTTCCACCCAGTCTCGATGTGCAAACCTTTCGTGATGAGATTCAAAGATTATGCGATTTTCTTGACGGTGAACAAAATGTGATTCTAGCTGGAGATTTCAATGCAAGATACTGCCTGTATGGCGATCAAGTCTCTACCAACAAAGGCAAAATCTTTGTAAATGCCATCAATTTCAGCAGTTTCAGCGTCTTAAATAACGGCAATACTACTTTTCACTGGAACTGGAGTGTTCGCACGGCGAGCAGTGTCTTGGATCTAACTTTCTCGAATTCGACTATTTTATCTTTCAACTGGAACACGTCCAACGTTTCCATTGGCAAAAGTTAGCACTCTCCCATTTTATTCCACAGTTGTAACAATTCCATTAAGAAAATAGAAAATTTCATTTCACGCAACTTCCTTATGGACCGTCTGTCTAAAGTTGATTTATCATCAATTCAAAGTGCCTTTCAGTCTATGATCATGTCTGCTAGAACAAACTTTCCTGACGTTGAGTCCTTCTCACCTGAACTTTGGTGGAACCCTTCCCTGTCAACACCTTTCCTCAAATACCAAGCTGCAAGAAAAAAAATGAGTAAATATGCCAATCCAGCCAACTACATTGAATATATGAAAATACTGAAAGAATGGAGGTCTGCAGTTAGAAAGGCGAAAATTGCACATAGATTTGTGTGGTAACGGCAACCCACGTTCCTTGTGGAATTATATCAATGGTCATCGACATTCTAGTCGAAAATTAAGCGGTTGTGCTGTATGGAAAGACCGTGATAATAAAAAATACTTAGATATGCTCAAAGGCTACATTCCAATTGTTAATCCTATTACAACGCCTTCAATTCCTTTTAGTAGTATCAGTAACACACCCTTTTCATTGCATGAGCTAATGTATGTTTTACATTCCAGAAAGAGAGCTACTGCTGCAGGTTGTGATGGAGTCAAGTATGACATGCTCAGAGCACCGTCTGGAGGAAGCTTTAGCATGCTTTTGCATTCAATTAACAACTGCTGGTCCACCAACTTTATACCCTCTGATTTGCGTTGCATCAAATTAGTTCCCATTCCCAAACCAGGTAAAGACTTAAATGATTTAAGTTGCTTAAGACCAATTTCACTAATATCTGTATTCATAAAGACCATCAACCTCATGGTTAAGGAGAGACTAACTGCTTTTCTGAAAACTAAGAACATTATTCCAGCTCGGTCTTACGCCTATCAAAAACGCAAATCTACGAATATGTGCGTTAATGAACTGTGTTTTCTCATAGCCAGCTTAAAAAAAGCAGGGAAAGTGGTTGTCATGCTCTCCCTGGACATCAGCAAAGCCTTTGACTGTGTCAACTTGATTAAGCTTGGTAGAATTCTCTTAAACTCTTCGATTCCTCTTCAAATGCGGCTGTGTATACTTAATTTTGTATCCAAGCGTGTGTTGGTGATGGGTACTGAAAAATTTGAAATATACGGTGGTATCCCAAAACGCAGTTGTTTAAGCCCCATACTCTTCAATCTATACGCAGCTTCTTTGCATGATCTTCAAGATGACAAAACTCACATTTTTCAATATGCAGATGATTTTCTGCTGTCAATAACCTCTCGATGAAAGCGAACTTATTTTTCGATGCATGCGGTGATCTTAATTTATAGTGTAACCCCAGCAAACCAAATGCTATTTATTTTGCCAAAGGTTCTAAACGTGAAATCAGACTTCTTATCAAAAGTATCCTAGTTAATCATGTAAAATCTCTTCGACTTCTTGGGAGAATTTGAAATGACAGCTTAACCCTTCGTGGGCATTATGAAATGGCGTTCAAAGGCTGTCAGTCTGGATGCAACATCATCAAACTCATGACAAACAATCAGGCAGGCTTGCCTCCAAAAAATGCTTTGACCGTTTACAAATCTCTAGTCAGGTACAAAATTGAATTTGGACATTCCACATGTTGCAATTTCCCAAAATATATTGAGAAACGTATACAAGCATTTGAAAACTGAATTTTGAAGCGTTGTGCTGGACTGACTCCCTCAAATCCTCAACATATTCTCAATGTTATATCTGGTGAGTGGCCCGTTTCCAAGGAGTTAATTAAAGTCAAGATGGTAAATCCTTCTTTTTTTCAGGAAATTATATCTCTCAGTGATACTGTCACTTGCAGCTATACTTTTTGCTGTCAAAAACTTCGCCATATTTTTGATAAGTTAGATTCAATTCCTCCCTTGAATTTCATTACCAGCAAATGCAGAGTCTTCATGAACATTCTCGAATCGATCTCAAAACAAAATGTCAACTTCTCTTGTATGAGGAAGTTATGCCAAGAAAAGGTACTTTTTTATTACAACAATGGCTACGATATATATGCCACCGACGGTTCCGTTGGACATAATGTATCTGGCTTCTCTGTCGTGAAACATCTGTCTAAAACAGTACATCGAGTCAAAGTGGCGGAGGAAGTTTCCTCAACTTTTATTGAGTTGCTCGCCATTCGACATGCTATTAAGGTTGCTATCTCGGATGATATCAGAAGGTTTGTTATTTTTTCTGACAGCAGGTCAGCTCTACTTCTAATAAATAAAAGAGATGCAGAGAATCAATATGTGTTTTGATATTCGTAAAATGTTGCATGAATCTCAAGTGGATGACTGTCACCTCGTTTGGGTACCCGGCCACTGCGGCTTGTTTTTAAATGTAAAAGCCGACTTTCAAGCAGGGAGAGCTCGTATTGATGGGAAAATTTTGTCCATCAAATACACTCCCAATGAAGCAATTCGGGCAATTCGCAACCAATATCCTTCAACAGCTAAACGACGAATTTAAAGAAATCGGGCACGTTAAATCCAATCGTCTTTTCTATAAATTAAATTCCACATTTCAATTTAAATCCTTTTCTGTATCTCCTTTTAATTCCTGGGAAATCAAAATTCTTTAAAGACTCATGAGTGGTCATACTTATGACAAAGTTTATTTAAAAATGATTCGTGCTATACTATGTGATGTTTGTGAAGTTTGCAATGTTGTTGAGTCTGCTGAGCATCTAATCTTCAGATGTCACAGGCTTGATGGCATTAGAGATTCCTTTAGCTTCTTCAAGTTATATGGCTGTCTCCTCTAATTAACTTGCTTTATTAGAAAAGCTAATTTATCCTTTTAGAATTTTTTTTTTCGTCTTCTTTCCTTTTTTTTTTTGCGTTCAATCATTTTCAATTACCATAACATTCTTTTTTGTTTTCAGCCAAAGTTTGCAACACTGTCTGACTTTCAAGAACTCAACAAGCACATTTACACACACACACACAATTACATTTAACATGCCCCGTCGTCGTACAGGCCTATCTGTCTCCTGGATACGATGGGCAAGCTGCTGGAGTCAGTAGTGTACGAGCGTCTGCTGAGAGTAGCCGAAGAAACCGGTGCGCTATCTGATAACCAGCACGGCTTCAGAAGGGCGCGGTCGACAATAGACGCCATAAATCACGTAGTGAGGCTGGCCGACGCCATAGCCGGTGATAGATGGAAAGGGGGCGACAAGAAATACTGTGCCCTGATTACACTGGACGTTAAAAACGCTTTTAACTCGGCGGATTGGGGAGCTGTCCGCAGGGCTCTTATAAGAACGCGGGTCCCAAGGTATCTATTGGACACCATAACGAGTTACTTGTCGAACCGTACGTTGGTGTATGAAAGCGACAACGGCACAGAACAGTATAAAATATCAGCAGGCGTCCCACAAGGGTCAGTTCTTGGCCCTCTTTTGTGGAACATCATGTATGACGATGTCCTGAGGTTGGAGCTGCCCACCGGCACAACGAGTATTGGATTCGCCGATGATGTTGCGATAGTGGTGGTCGCAAAGCATATTGCCGATATAGAAGCGAAAGCTACCGAGGCAATCATGCTTATTAAAGGGTGGCTAAATAAGGTGGGCCTAGAGCTGGCTGAACACAAAACGGAAGTCGTGCTTGTGAGCAGCCGGAAGAAGTTAGAGACGTGCGAGATAAGAATCGGGGACCACATTGTGCAGTCAGTCCCCGCGCTCAAATACCTGGGAGTGATAATTGATCACCGCCTCAACTTCAGGCGGCACATCGACTACGTGGCGAAGAAAGCGGCAGGCATCCAGACGGCATTGGCAAGGATTATGCCAAACGTGGGGAGTTTGAAAGCAGCTAGAAGAAAGGTCATAACCACTGGGGTGACGTCAATCATTATGTACGCGAGCCCAGTATGGGCGGGTGCATTGACTGTAAAGGCGGCACTCCGGAAATTGGCGGCGATATATCGCCTCAGCGCCCTGAGGCAGATTTGCGCATTCCGAACCGTGTCGGAAGAGGCGGCGCTAGTGCTGGCTGGCAATCTGCCAGTCGACATCCTGGCCGATGAGATGAGCCGCATCTACCAACGGCGTCGCGGCAACGATCTCTCCTCGCTAGTTACAAGAGGCGAGGAACGGATGGTCTCGCGAAGGATTTGGCAATCGAGGTGGGAAAGAACGACCAAAGGAAGGTGGACGTTCGTTCTTATCCCTAACATAAGACGTTGGGTCGACAGACGGCAGGGAGAAGTAAACTATTACTTAACCCAGCTTCTGACTGGCCATGGCTGTTTCCGGAAATATCTACACAGATTCGGGCACGACAGTTCGCCTAACTGCCCGGTATGTGAGGATATGGAAAAGGACGCAGAACACGTAATGTTCTACTGCAGCAGGTTCGAGAATGGGCGGCCTCAAGTGCCACCTAACGAGATAACAAGCGCAATGGTTGGCAGTCCAGCAGCCTGGAACGCGGAAGACGCATTCGCCAGCAATACTCTCGTGGAGTTGCGGCGATTGGAGAGGCAACGGGTGGAGAGCAGAGGGAGTGGAAGCCGATAGTGCATTCCACTGAGGTCCCACCATCAGGAGCGTGCTAGTGACAACCAGCCCCCGCGAAGTAATACCTAACGGTGGTCCCGCGGGGGAGAGTGGTAGACGAAGTGTGTGTGTGGGGTGTAGTTTTTAGTACGTATGCGCCAGGGATGGCGAATCGTGCATGCTGCTACTAAGACCCAGCAGTATCTTTCGAAGATTTTCTACCTCCAGCTCACAGAGCAAAACAAAAAAAAAAAAAA